GGGGGGGGGGGGGGGGGGAAGGTCTGCATACACGTCTTGACTTGGATGGAGACTGAGGGGTGGTTTGCTGGTCCAAAAACGCACAGAAGGAAGAAAGGTTGGCGGATCCTGGATCACGTGGTGAAGATTCAGATGGTGCGGAAGGGGAAGACGAGTCTGAAAGTGAAAAGAGAAGGGGAGTGCCCTCTCTACTAGAGCGTTTACCTATGTCTGCTGGACTAGGAGTAGGTGAACTTGGGGCTCGTTTAGGGTTCTGTTCGGCAGCGTGGTGGCTCTAGATGGTGCAGATGTAGTGTCCATTTCAGTTGGTATAGATATGGTTACTCTGGTTTTTGTTTCGTTGATTGTTTGGTAGAACTTGGTGATTACAGCTTGAGTGAGACGTTTCCCATAGGAGTGACGGGCCCAGGACAGGGCATGAGAAACGATGCGGTCGACGGCAGGTGATGATAAACACTTGGTACGAATGGTGGTCAGCTTCTCATGAAGTGTGGTTTGGTAATGGTCGATCAGGACCTGCGTAACCTTAGAGAGCCATGTCCGATTGAGGGATCTAATATTCGCGTCAACAGCTGATGTTTTCATTGCTGGGCGGATAAAACTATCCAACTCAGAGACTTTACGTTTGAAGGTAAACGCTGCTGTTGAAGGGTAAGGATTGCCAAATGATGGAGGCATTGCAAAACTTGGAAGAACACCTTCACAAAGGGTTCTTCCTCCTTATGAGTGGGGACTGGTTGGCGTCGGTGGGTTGGTAGTCGTTTCTGTTGTTGGTCAGGTCGATGGTTACCTCTTGATTGGTAGGTGTTGTAGGTAGGTCGGCGATGGGGTGGGATATAGCTGGAATGGGTTGGTTGGTGGTCGGCGATTGGTAGGTGGTAGAAGTCGATAGAAGACAGGGCCGTTGTAGGATACGTGATATTGGTTTGGTTGACGATTAGTGTTTCTATGTCTGGCTTCTTGCCAGTGGTTGTTGTAGTTGGGGAGCATAATGAAAATAACTTGAGGTTAGAAAGGGAATGTACAGCGAATGTAACAGGAGGAAACTGTATATGCTAGCGTGAAAATGTGGGGATCAAATTATGCAAATAAGTCAAACTGGGTTTGAGGATATATAAAGTAAGATGAAAGTTATGATGAAAAATGCAAAAATATATATTTGGGTGATAAATAACGCTAACAATGATGTTAAAAATTATAACAAGTAAAACAAAAACTTACGCAATTGACACGAACCGGTTTTCGAAATATTATTTTTTTTCAAGTGTCGAGGAATGGTTATGTAATGAGGTTGAATTTGCGATTTATCCGAACATATAATGTACGAGTCGTATCTCAGCAATCGAAACTAGACAGTTGTTTCCAGTGCATTTGTACGACTCGTATGCAGGCAATGTAACCTGATTGAACTTTTCCATTGCCATATTACGACTCGTAGTCCCGCAATCCGAAGAAACATTATGTTTCCATTGCAAAACTACGATCTACAAATCCAAAATGACAAATGAAAAAAGATCTTTCTCGATTGTAAGAATGCACCAATACACGTCATATACGGCACATGCGTAGTAGATCGACGTCTCCACGTGGATTTCTGCCTAAACATGGCGACCTCCAACACATTGAGTGCCTAACAAGTAGCAGATATTCTGATGATTAGTGAACAAGAAGTTGAAGATGATCAAACCTTCGCTGATAGTGATAGCTCCAGTTCAAGCGCGTCAACAGACTCAAAAACGCCAAGAGAAAAGTCAAGTACAGATGACGAACTGTTAACATTATCTGACAATGATGGAAACCCGATGGTATCATCGGACTCAAGTACATCGAGGTAATTTACCATATATAACTACTGTTATAAATCTTAAACTTTCACATTGTAGCTGATTTATTACAAGCATGTTAAAACTTTTCCTCTCGTCATTGATCATTCTTTACTTTTCAGTGACGAGGGTAACGTTCCAACACCAATGATGCCAGTCAGAGGTAGGGCAAGGTTACTTGGTGGTAGGGGTACTCGTGGTAGATCGATTCCAAGTCGTAGTCGTGGTCGTTTCACTGTAAGAACAAGAGGCTCTCGAAGAGGATGTAATTCTGCCCGTGCACAAGCACATTTTCTAACCAAACCACAGGTGATCCAGGACCTATACTAGAAGCATTGGCTAATGGAGGTTATGTATTGGATGCACCTGTTATTGGTCCAGATGGTGACGGGATGCATGATGACCAGCTTCCTCAGAATAATATTAATGTTGAAAGAATTTGGACAGATGCTCCAGTAGACTCCCCTGTCTTTGATTTTCGAGAAACCTCGGGTCTCATAGTTGAACATGACGAGGAGACCCCTGGATCATTTTATGACTTATTTCTGACTGAAACATTGGTGGATACAATGGTAGCTGAAACAAATCGCTAGCCCAGAATGAAATAAACAAACATCGCCCATTATGCCGTACATCAAGATATCACGACTGGAAAGATACCAACGCCGGGGAAATGAGGCAGTTTATTGCCGTGCTTCTTCATATGGGACCTGTCACACTACTGTCTGTAGAGCACTACTGGAGTACCAGTCCGTTGTATAAGTCAGTATTTTTTCGTGGTGTTACTGGACGAAACCGCTTCCAACTTCTACTGAGATTCTGGCATTTTGCAAATAATGATGCACCGACAGATGACAGAATATATAAAGTCCGTCCAGTTCTGGAAAACTTCAACTCTATTATGGATACAATTTACTATCCACAGCGAGATTTGGCAATCGACGAATCAATGGTTCTATGGCGAGGACGTTTAATGTTTAGACAATATATCAAAAATAAGCGCCACAAATATGGCATTAAATTATACGAATTATGCGAATCAAGGGGACTCGTTCTGAGAATTCGCATTTATAGTGGAACTCCTGTAGAAGATCCCTATCATCTGGGTCAATCAGCAGCTACTGTCCTGGATTTATTAAGTGGGTTTCTTGACAAAGGTCATGTCGTCTATACAGATAATTATTATAACTCGGTACAGCTATCTAATACCATGACAGAACGGTCAACCTATATATGTGGAACCCTTAGAGGCGATCGACGTGGAAATCCAAAAGAGGTCGTAAATATGAAGCTTAAGAAAGGCGAATATATCTGGAGAGGATCTGATGGAATTGTTGTTTGTAAGTGGAAGGATAAGAGGGACGTTTTGACCATATCAAACATGCATCAACTTCAAATGGTTGATGTGAGAAACAGAAATGGCAAGATCACGGTAAAACCTAACATTATAAGAGATTATAATAATGGTATGTCCGGTGTGGATCGATCTGATCAAATGCTCTCATATTACAGCGCTCTTCGAAAAACCATTCGATGGTATAAGAAGATAGGCTTGCATTTTCTAGAAATAGCTCTGTTGAACGCACACATACTTTACAACGATCGAAATTTTAAGAAAATGAAACTCCTTGAATTCCGAGAGGCAATTGTCTTACATCTATTGGGTCCTACACTATCCGCAAATTTGAAAGTTCAGACAAGACGTGGAGGAATAATAGAATCAAATGAATTTCATTATCTAGAGCTAATCCCACCAACTGAGAAAAAGCAAAGACCTACCAAGCCATGTAGGGTATGTACCCAGAAGAAAATAAGACGTGAAAGTCGTTATATTTGTGCTGAATGTAAAGAGAAACCAGCCTTGTGTATAGTTCATCCTACCCAGGCTAAAAATTAGAACAATTAAAAGTAATGTTCAATTCCTAATTATTTGTCTTTTTGTTCAAGAAAATCCCCCTGTTTCCTTCAATACACAACGCACATTGTATAATGCGCAGACATTATTTTGTGTAGTCCAAAAGTTTTTATCTTTATTCTCCATCAGACCGGAAGTGGCTAAGGTCGGGATCAGCAAGATTCAGGGTAAAAAAATTACTTTCTTGTGCGATAAAAATAAGCAATTTTACACTAAACAACACAAGAACCCAAAACAAAACACGAAAAGATGGCAGTTTGCAGAAGGCCATCTTTGCCTACACCCCTGTATGCCGTAGTACGAGTAACATTGCACAAATTGGTTTTGAACGTTCTAAAGAGTTTCTTCCTATGGCCAAACATCCGAGTTTTATCGTATTTTACGTATTTCGTATTTCTAAACGCCTTTAAAATTCGCATACGTAAACGCGAGTATACTCGTACCTGGCAACAGGGACAGACCTCAAAATCGAGTTAATTCGTAGGTCGGCAGTCAACGTGTTAATACATTTTTCGCATGATGATTCAAAGATAGGCCTGATTGGCGATTTTAACGCCAGAACTGGGACTAATCCTGATTATATTATCCCTGATAAAATTTACTCAATATTGCTAACATTGAAGAAAACTCTGATTTATTAGGTTATATGTATGATTACGAAAATTTGTTAAGATGTGATATTCCTCTTGAACGATGTAGTGAAGACAACAATGTCACGAACACCTATGGGCATAGTTTACTCAATATTTGCAAATCAAATAATATGTATATCGTGAATGGCCGAGTTGGTGATGACAAACTTATTGGTAGAACCACAAGTAATACGAAATAATGTCACTGATTATTTGATTTTGGAATCTCATTTATTTCAAATTATTCCCAAATTTAAAGTACATGATCTCAACCCATTATATAGTGACGTACATTCCCGCCTAGAATTTTCTCTCGAATGTCAACCAATACAAAAGAATAAAAAAAACGAAACCATAATAAATCGTAAATCTATTAAATGGGATGAAAAGAATAAAAGTAATTTTATTATTAACAAAAAGAAAAACGAAACAAACGTCGGTACCATCATAGAGAATATTATTAAAATACAAGAAACCAATAGTAATATATCCTTGAATGAAACTAACAATGAACTAATTGATGAAATATTGAATGCGCCAATAACAAACTTAGAAATTAAAGATTCTATTAATCAATTGAAATTGAATAAATCCCCAGGAATCGACGAAATCTGTAATGAATACATGTTGATACATTTATTCCATTATATGATGTTCTTTTTAACAAAATTCTAAACACTGGAATCATTCCAGAGGCATGGTCAATAGGAGTAATAAGACCTGTCTTTAAAAATAAGGGAGATAACAAAAATCCGTACAACTACAAACCAATCACACTTATATCATGTTTGGGTAAATTATTTACGTCAATACTTAATAAAAGGTTAAATTCACTGTCAGACGAAATAAAACTTATCTCAGACTGTCAGGCCGGTTTTAGGAAAGGCTATTCCACACTTGACAATATGTTCACATTATATTCATTAATCCAAACATATCTGTCGTTTGGTGGCAGATTATTCGGACTATTTGTTGACCTAAAAAAAAGCGTTTGATTTTTTACCAAGAGCAAATCTATGGCACAAGTTAATTAAAAGTAATATAAGAGGCAAAATATTTAATGTAATTTATAATATGTATTCCGATACAAAAAGCTGTGTAAAAAATGGTAATGATATCTCAAATTATTTCCCATGTATGTCAGGTGTACGTCAAGGTGAAAATCTTTCCCCATTTCTATTTGCAATTTATATGAATGATCTGGAATCATTTTTTGACGAAAATGATGTAAAGTGTCTTGAAGGTATAGGTAATTTATCAGTTGATAATCTAAAGCTTTATATAAAACTATTCTTGTTACTTTATGCAGATGACACTATAATTTTATCTGAAACTGAAGAAATCTCTAGAGGTGTTCAGCAAATATTGCTCCAATTGGAACCTGACAGTAAATCTAGATAAAACGAAGATCGTAATTTTTTCGAGAGGCAAAGTGAAAAACATACCAGAATTCTACTTCAATGATATGCGAGTAAGTGTTGAACAATCTTATACATATTTAGGCTTACTATTCAACTATAACTGTAAATTCACGTTGGCTAGAAAACAACTTATTGATCAATCAAGAAAAGCTATGTTTGCATTAAATAGGAAAATGAGAAATATATCACTCCCAATAGATTTACAATTTAAATTATTTGACTCGTTAGTGTTACCAATTCTACTGTACGGATGTGAAATTTGGGGATATGAGAATTGTTCAGACCTAGAAAAAATTCATACACAATACTGTAAACGAATATAAAATGTTAGAAACACAACGCCAAATTACAGGGTATATGGAGAAACAGGCCGATTCCCTATTGTATTAACTATTCAACAACGTATGATTGTATTTTGGTCAAAGCTTGTCGATCCAAACTCTGAGAAATTATCGCATAAATTATATAGTCTCGTCTTGCAGTTACATACAACAGGTCAGAAACAGTTTAAATATATTAAATTCATAAAAGAAATATTAGATCACAATGGCCTATCTTATGTATAGTTGAATCAATCGATTATATCAATTAATACTAAATTCTTGAAATGCACCATCAAACAAAAAACCCAAGACCAATTTATTCAAAATTGGAACAATGATATTTGTACTTCTTCTAGAGGAGAAATGTATTCCCAAGTTAAACAAAACTTTGGTATTGAAGAATATTTACCGAAGTTGAACTCCTTTTAAAGAATTAATCTATGTAAATTCAGAACCTCAAATCTAAAATTACCGATAGAAACCGGAAGATGGAATAAACTTCCTAGAGATGACAGAAAATGTCCACTATGTAATAATGGAATTGGAGACGAATATCACTATCTCTTCCTCCACCCATCGATCTTATTCTTCAGAATTAAGTACATTCCGAAGTATTATACAACATATTCGTCAAAATATAAAATGAAAACCTTATTTTGTTATAATAATATACGAGTTTTATCAAATAAAAGTGTATTTCTGTATCATATTGAAAAGACTATATTAAAATGTAAATAATCCAAGACAAGATTTAAATATATTATATTTATTAACACACATACAGTCAATCCTGGAATCATACGACCATGATCCCAAACCTACTACCATTATTCTTCATGTAGGCCCCAACAACCGTGATCAGCTAGCAAAGACCTCCTTTAACCAAGCCCAGAAATTAATCGTAACAGCCAACAAAACCTTCCCAAATTTCAAGAACATCTTCACATGTATACCCATTTCAAATAAAATCTCGAAGAAAGCACAACAGAACCTCAGCACTCTCAACAACATGATGATGGAGTCCAGTATCAACAGCGCAACAATCTTACCACCCTACGAAGAAGAATTCGAACCAGTTGATAATCTTCATTGGTCTCCAGAAACAGCAAACAGCATTTATTTGTTTTGGATACGCCAGCTTCAAGCATCGAGTAAGTCTTTAAACTAATTACTGGGGATAAAAATACTGAGAGGCCACCGCTAGGCCAAACTGTAGTTAACTTGAGCCGCAAAATTCGCACACCCCTTCAGCATTCAATCTTAGACCGTGGACTTAAATTTATTCCCACACCAAAGATAGCTAACTTGAATTATCTCCGACCATCCATTGAACGATTTCAACAAAATCTTAGCTGCACATATTTTTTTCGAAACCACCCCCCACGTGGTGCTAGAACAATGTTTATTCTTAAATCCACGTGGACACCCCCTCAGGCCGCCATCCATCCTGAAATATTGAAAGGATTTCGAGTTCCCTCTAATGCTATTTTAATTTCTATCGACGTTTCTTCTATGTATACTAATATCGATAACACCACTGGTTTACGGCAGTTCGTAAAGCTTTTAATAGAAACCCAGATCCAAACAGACCCGACGATGCAATTCTACAGCTTTTAGAGATTTGTCTTAGTCGAAACGATTTCACATTTAATGATAAAACATATTTACAAACTTCAGGGAAAGCAATGGGCAAACGATTCGCCCCTTCGTACGCAAACCTTTTAATGGCAGAGTGGGAACGTGAGGTGTTGCCCCTCTGTCCATTTGACCCACTTTTTACGGACGCTTTTTGGATGACATTTTTATGGTTTGGACTTATTCTATCGAACAGTTTTGGCAATTCTTTGAAATACTCAACAACCATCACCCTTCTATCAAACTAACCGCAAACGTGAGTGACAAAAGCATAGACTTTCTCGATACCACAGTCTTTAAGGGAGATTCCATAGCAGAAACAAATAAACTGGATATTAAAGTGTATTTCAAAGAAACTGATACTCATCAACTCTTGCACAAGAGCTCCTTTCACCCAAAACATACCTTTTCTGGTATAATTAAGTCACAAGTTTCATCGAATTTGTACAAGATCATCTGATTTCAACCAAGCCTGTACGATTGTTTTCTCAAAACTGAAAGAGCGTGGGTACTCTAAACGATTTTTACGAAACATAAAAAATTCCACCTTAGCACAGATAGCAGCTAAAAACAGACTTTATGCCGAAGTACCTCCAGGTTTAAGAAGTGCTCCATGTTTGTCCAGTAGATGCAAAACATGTCCCTTTATATCAGAAACTCATTATTTTGTAAGCAACTCTACGAATAAAAGGTACCCGATCCAGGAACATCTAACATGTGAACATTCGAATGTAATATATTTAATTTCATGCACGAAATGCCCCAAACAATATGTAGGAGAAACTAAGAATAATTTACGAACTCGCTTTAATGCTCATAGGTCAGACATCAAATTAAAGAAAGACAAGCCTGTTTCTAATCATTTCAACCTCAACGACCATTCAATAGACGATCTCGCCCTAATCCCAATTGAGCGTATAGAAATTGACTTGCCCGAAGATGAAACTACCAAATTCCGTCAATCTAGGGAA